GCAGCAGCAGCAGCTGCTGCTGCTGCTGCTGCCTGGCGAGCGGTGCTGCGCAGCTTTGGAGGGCCCCCATAGGGGGCCTCATGCAGGAACTGATGCTGCTGCTCTGGCGGCTGCTGCTCTTGCTGCTGCTCCTCTTGCTGCTGCTGCTCCTGCTGCTGCTGCTGCTGTGCTGCTCCTGCTGCTGCTGCTGCTGCAGCACGAGCAGCAGCAGGAGCAGCAGCAGCAAGGCGGTCAGCCGCAGCCGATGGAAGGGACGCCCGCAGATTTCCTGAACAGCAATTCCAAACCTTAAACCCTAAACCCTAGAGGCCCTAAACCCTTAACCGTCGAGCCTAAACCCTAACCGCCAAAAACCCTAAACCCTAAATCCTAGGCTTCAGAAGAAACTGCTTACCGAATTTGCTGCCAGCGACTTCTTGCTGCGCAAAGGAACAGGAGCTGCTGCTGCTGCAGCAGCAGGAGGCCCGTCGCTGTCGCTGCTGCTGCTGCTGCTGCTGCTGCTGTCCGCAGCAGTGGAGCGCTGGCTGCAGCTACCCCTGCTGCCGTTGCTGCTGCGCTCATTGTTGCTGCTGCCCGTGTTTTTGCTGCTGCTGCTTCTGTTGCTGCTGTCGCTGCGGGTGCTCATGGTGTCTGCTGCGGCATCAGCAGCTGCCGCTGCTGGAACAGCAGCAGCAGCTGCTGGCGCCTGTTTTGGAAGGCTTGTGCAGCAGCAGCAGCAGCAGCAGCAGCAACAGCAGCAGCAGCAGCAAAAGCCTTTGATCGACGGAAATCGATCTCTGCCGCAGCCGCCTTTGTGAGGCGCCTTTGCTGCGGCTCTTCGGTGGAATCGGCAAAACCCTGCAGCCTAAGGTTTGGGATCTAGGGTTTAGGGTTTAGGGTTTAGGGTTTAGGGTCTAGGGTTTAGGGTTTAGGCCTCGGCGTGCTCGCGGCTCCGTCTCGCGAGGCTCGCCGTCGCCCTGCTCCGTTTTTGCCTAGAAATCAAATTACGGGAGATTTCCTCAATTGAAAAGGGTTTAGGGTTTAGGGTTTAGGGTTTAGGGTTTAGGGTTTAGGGTTCAGGGCCCAGGGGGATCTGTTTCCTGGCCTCAGCGGTGCTCGGGGCCCTCAAGGCCCGAGTAGGCGAGCAGGAGCGGCGAGGGTTTAGGGTTTAGGGTTTAGGGTTTAGGGTTTTTAGCATCTGTTTTGCTAACTCTTTTCATTTCCAGCTCAGTTCAATTAAGTCTCGACTCAACAATTAGGGTAAAGAACGTGCTGCTGCTGCTGCTGCTGCTGCTCCCGCTGGTGCTGCTCCCGCTGCTGCTGCTGCTGCTGCGTTGTTGCTGCTGCAGCTGCAGCAGAAAAGCCCTACAAGCCACAATTAAATTACATTTTATATTTTAAAATCAATTCATTTCATTTTAGTTCAACTTGACCTGCTGCGACGCGGCTTTGCGCAGCAGTCGAAGAGCAGCAGCCAGAACTCGCGAGAGGCTTTGACATTTCCACAATTTGATGCATTTATTTGTTTTTTGATTATTATTTTCATTTTAATTTATCTTTAATTCATTTTAATTTTGTTTTGAGAGATCAGAGTCGCGCACGCGCTCCCGGTGGTTGCAGTGTACGTACAGTGTACGTACACTGCACTCTCGGCTGCAAACGAACGAAGTTGCGCTTTTATTGAATATCTTTCTGCCGCGTCATTTATTATAAATATTTATTAAAACAAACAAATAAATCCTGCAAATATATCTTATTTAGTTCAAGAATGGCGCAACAAATAAAAACTTTGCGTGCGCGCATCTTCAAGCCGGACTTGGAGAATTTCTTGAATTTTTCCTCTTGTTTGGACCTTCTAATTCTCCTCTTTGCTTCTTTTAAATTGCATTTTTGTTTTTTGAAATTCATAAATGCACTTTTGTCCTTTTTGCGTCTCTTTTGAGGCGCATGTGGACTAGACTTGAATTTGCAACAAAATGGTCTTTTCATTTTCTCTCTAAAGCCAAACTTCGGCGAAATTTTGGACTTTTGTTTACAAAAGCCTCAAAGCCAAAGGGCCGTTTAAATGGAAATACAAATTAAATGCAAATATAATTCGGAAATATAATGAAAAGAATTAAATACGTTTATAAAGCTTGCAAAAAAAAAGCTTTACATCACAGCTGCATGCATTGGACTGTATGTACACCTGCAGTGTATGCACGCCTGCATGCATGCATTCCGCTGTAACTACACCTGAAGGCTACACGCAGATTTAGTCAATTAAATGCTCCAGAAGACGAAAAAATGCCAGCAGCAACAGCAGCAGCAGCGGCAGCAGCAACGGCAGCAAATGGAAAATAAAAAGAAAAAGAAATCAAAAAAGAAAGAAAGAAGAAAAAAGGGAAATAAGAGTCTTTAGAGAAAGGCTTGCGCAAACAAACCGGCAAATAAATAAATGAACAATAAATAATAAACAACAGATAAATAATAAACTAATTAATTAATTAAAACATAAACAAATGCTAAATAAATAATGTCTAAATAAATAAATAACAAATTATAAATTATAAATAAATAAATAGCAAAGGATAAAGAGCTGCTTCATTAGCACTCCATTTTGCTTTTTTGTCTTTACCCAATTAATTACTATTAAGACTGTCTCTAGTAAATAAAAGAGCAGCAGCAAACCAAGTTTTCTGCTGCTGCAGCTGCTGCTGCTGCAGCAACAGCAGGGGCTGCAGGTGCACTGCCGCTGGTGCTACTGCAGCAGCAGCGCCTGTTGCAGCTGCACTGCCGCCGCTACTACTGCAACAGCAGCAGCTGTTGCAGCTACACTGCCGCTGCTGCTACTGCAGCAGCAGCAGCTGCTGCAGCTGCACTGCTGCCGCTGCAGCTGCACTGCTGCTGCTGCTGCTGCTGCTGGTTCTGCTGCAGCTGCACTGCTGCTGCTGCTTCTGCTGCTGCAGCTGCCCTGCCTTCTCCGCCGCTGCTTCCGCTGCCGCGCCGCCGCCCCGCCGCCGCTGCTGCTGCTGCTGCTGCTGCTGCAGTCACTTGGAGTGGAAGGGGAAGCGGGAGGCGTCTCCAACTGCTGCTTCTTCAACAGCAGCAACCCAGGGACTCTTCAAGCCGCATGCAGCCCCGCCGCCCCGCAGCTGACAAGGAAAAGCAAAACCCTGGCGGTCCACAGCAGTGGGAGAAGCCCTTATGTGCTTCACGCAGTCGCCGCCCACCAGGAAGTACCCCTGCAGCAGCAGCAGCAGCAGCAGCAGCAGCAGCAGGAGCGGCAGCGGCGGCGGGGGAGCGGTGCAGCAGCGGGGCAGGAGGGCAGCAGGTTGGCTAGGGGTTGTGTGGCTAGCTGGCAATAAAACAAAAAAGGCTATTCACTGGCAGGATCTAGGGCTTAGAGTTTAGGGTTTAGGGTTTAGGGTTTAGGGTTTAGGGTTTAGGGCTCGGCGATTCGGTTTGAAGTGCCAAGGCTGAGACTGTTGCTGCTAGTGCTGCTGCTGGTGCTGCGGCTGCTCCTGTGGCAGCTGTAACTACTGCTGCTTCTCCTATCTCTGGCTGCTGCTGCTGCTGCTGCATTTGCCACTGCTAGCTGTTTTGCTGCTGCTGCTGCTGCTGTTTGTGCCGCGACTAGCTTCGACGCTTCTACTGCTGCTTGGTCCCCTGCTCGCCTGCTTTCTCCGCTGCTGCTGCTGCTGCTGCTGCTCCTGCTGCAGCAGGGGACTCACGGCCTCGCAGGTGAAGGAGGGCTTGGCTTCTTTGTGGGCGACGCAGCTTTCAGCTTTTCCCATTTTGTTTTTTTCCAGAGAATATCCAACAGGACAAATGATTTGAACAGCAGCAAGTTCAGTCAAGACACAATGAACATTTCCCCAGTTTGTTGCTGCTGGCTTCTTGCCTTTCTTGCGGCTCTTTGCTGCTCCTGCTGCTGCTGCTCCTGCTGCTGCGCCGTCGCGGTCCCCCAGCAGCTCCTTCGGGTCCTGCGGCAGCGCGTGCTGCAGCTGGTAGCCCTCGGGGCAGGTGAGTTCTGCTGCTGCAGCAGCAGCACCAGTGCACAGCAGCAGCTGCGGGTCAAACAGCAAACCCTCGGGACAAGCAGCAGCAGCAGCAGCAACATGAGACACTTCGCAAAACCCGCTCGAGGGGTTAAACAGAAACTCCCCGCTGCACGTGGGCGTCGCCTCCACCACTTCGTGCTGCAGCAGCAACACGCAAACGCCCAGCTAGCTAGCTAGCTAGCTAGCTAAGGAGCTAGCTGGGTGGCTAGCTGGGTGGCTAGCTGGGTGGCTAGCTGGCTGGCTAGCTGGCTAGCGAGCTAGCTGGCTAGCTGATGCTGGCGCCTTCACAGCGTCAACTAGCTAGCTAGCCAGCTAGCTACCCGCTAGCTAGCCACCTGGCTAGCTAGCCGACTGGCCAGCTAGCCAGCTAGCCAGCTAGCCAGCTAGCTAGCTAGCTAGCTAGCCAGCTAGCTAGCTAGCTAGAAATGACTCACCCCCATGCAGGAGCCGTCGGGCTGCAGTTTGGCGCCGGAGATATCGCAGGAAGCCTGGGGGGGTTCTTTGAGGCTGCGCATGCATGTGGGGCCCCCGAAGCTAGCTGCTGCTGCTGCTGCTGCTGCTGCTGCTGCTGCTGCTGTGGGGAGGAAGGGGCCCTCCAGGGCCTTCCAGCTTTCTTCCTTGCCCCACTCTGAGCTCTGGCCCAGCTTGTGGGGCCCCACAAGCAGCAGCTCCTCAGGAGCAGCAGCAGCAGCAGCAGCAGCAGCAGCAGCAGCAGTCAAGGTGCTGCCGGGGGGACACTCAAGCCGCAGGGCCTCCATAGAAACAGTAACAGACTCGCACATTATATTGGGAGCAGCAGCAGCAGCAGCAGCTGCAGCAGCTGCAGCAGCAGCCTCTGGGGGGCTAGGGTTTAGGGGGCTAGGGTCTGGGGGACTAGGGTTTAGGGGATTAGGGTTTAGCGGATTAGGGTTTAGGGGATTAGGGTTTAGCTTTTCAGAAGCAATGAAGGGTTTAGGGTTTAGAGGGTCGGGGGGCATGAGAGGCTCTAGGGTTTCTAGAGGCGCGAATTTAGGGTTTAGGAGATTAGGGTTTAGGAGATTAGGGTTTAGGGAATTAGGGCTTAGGGCTTTAGGGTCTAGGGCTTTAGGGTTTAGGGTTTCAAGGCCCAGCTTGTCGTGGTCTAGTTTGCTGGCGGTTAGGAAATCGGGGTGTAGTTCCTCAAGGGCTAAAGTCCCCTTTTTAGGGTTTAGGCTAGGGTTTAGGCTAGGGTTTAGGCTAGGGTTTGGGAAATCAGGGTTTATTTTGCTGCTTTCGACTTCAGGGTTTGGGCTAGGGTTTAGGACTTCGCTGTGCACCTTATGAGGGTTTGGAAAAGGGTTTTTATCATTAGGGTTTAGGGTGTGAGGGGTTTTGAAATTAGGGTTTAGCTCAGGGCTGAGGCTGGGGTTTAGGCTAGGGTCTAGGGTTTGGAGGACTTTGTCCGCGCCGATCTTTTTGCTGCTGCTGCTGCTGCTGCCAGCAGCAGCAGCAGCAGCAGCAAAGGGGGCCCCTGCAGCAGCAAGCTGCCGCCTTGCGAGGCCCTGCGGGGGGGCCCAAACCCTTTTTTGCCATTCAGCTTTTTGTGTCTCTTTTGGATTTTCATTTTCTGGAATTTCTTTTTTTGTATCTTTTTTCTTTTCCTCCTTTTTGATTTCCTTTTCTGTCTCCTTTTTTGCTGCCTTTTGTGTCTCCTTTGCTGCTGCAGTTGTGTCCCTTTTGGTGTCTTTTTGCTGCGGGAGGTTTTTGCTTCTTGCTTCTGTCTTTGCTGCTGCTGCTGCTGCTGCTGCTTCTTTTGCTTTTGTGCCTTTTGCTTCTTTCTTTTCGGTTTCTTTTCTTTTTATTTCTTTCTTTTCTTCAATTTCTTTTCTTTTTATTTCTTTCTTTTCAACTTCTTTATTTGCTTCTTTAAAAGCCAGTGCATGCACTTTGCTGCTGCTGGCCAGCTGCGCAGCTCGGGGGTCCAGCAGGGGGGCCCCCCATTTGCTGCTGAGGGGCCCCCAGCCCTTTTTGCTGCTGCTGCTCTCCTCGTACGCCTCCCCTGCTGCTGCTGCTGCTGCTACTACTGCTGCTGCTGCTGCTGCCGCTGCTTTGTCGTCCTTTGTGTGGAGGGCCACTGGGTCCGGCAGCAGCACCTCTTCCAGCTGGACGCCCTTCCCTGCTGCTGCTGCTGCTGCTGCTGCTGCTGGGTCGTGCAGCCCTTTCTCGTGCTGCGGGAGGACGAGGAGGTCCCCGTCTTTGCCGTCCGCTGCAGCAGCAGGAGCAGCAGCAGCTGCAGCGGGGGGAGGCGCAGCAGCAGCAGCAGCAATGGTGTTTTGGTCCTCGGCGCACGCAAAGAAAGGCTCCTCAGTGACTTCTGCTGCGCATGCGTCTGCAGCAAGAGTTGGTGCTGCTGCTTTGGTGAGGTGGTGGTTGCTGCTGGGGGGACAAATGAAAGTGGGGGTTTTCTCTTGCAGACATTTTGCTGCTGCTGCATCATACTGCCAGCCCTCGGGGCAAACAGCCAGGGCTTTGCCCAGCAGCAGTTTGCTGCAGAGCTTCCTGCTGCTGTCGTACTTAAACCCCACGCGGCACTGCGGCTGCGGCTGCTGCTGCTGCCGCAGCACGCAGACTCCGTGCTGCAGCTGGAAGGGCGGCGCGCACGAGAGGTTGCCCGCAGTTTCTGTCTCCAGCACGCACAGCGGAGCAGCAGCAGCAGCAGCAGCAGCAGGAGCAGCAGCAGCAGGCAGGAACACGAAGCCCGGCGGGCAAGACAGAGTTGCTGCGCTCCGAGACCAACGCACGCAAGAGCCCTGCAGCAGGAGAAGCAAAAGGCACAGCGGCAGCTTTCGCCATTTGCTGCACCTCTTTAGTTCTTCAGCAAGGCACTTAGCTGCAGCAGCAGCAGCAGCAAAGGGCTGTAATCAGCTGCAGCAGCAGCAGCAGCAGCAGTAGCAGCACGTGACCACGCCCCGCTGCAGCAGCAGCCACAACGCGCCGCAACGCCGCCGCAGCAGCAGCCACCGCAGCAGCACAGCAGCAGCAGCAGCAGCAGCAGCAGCAGAGGCCTGCGGACGTCTTGAAGAGCGAATCCGTCGGGACAGAGGAAGACTGGCTGCTGCTGCTCTGTGAGTTCGCAGACTCCAGGTTGTGTTGCAGTGCCGCTGCTGCAGCTCCAAAGAGGGTTTTCTGCAACTTCTTTTCGACATGCTGCTGCTGCTGCTGCTGCTGCTGCTCCTTCCCCAAACACTGGGTAAAAGTCGGGGGGACACAGAGGCACTGGCTGAATCGCCGTGCGCCGCACGCAGCCCTTATCGTACGGCTCAAACCCTGCGCCCGCACGCCCCAGGGTTTAGGGTTTAGGGTTTAGGGTTTAGGGTTTGGGGTTTAGGGTTTTGGGGTGAGCAGGCGGCCCCTGCACCGGGCACGCGGAACGCCGCGGCGACGAGAAGGGTCTAGAGTTTGCGACAGTTCAGCGGTTTTAGGGCCTAGGGTTTAGGGTTTAGGGTTTACGGTTTAGGGTTTAGGGTTTAGGGTTTGGGGGCTTTACCCGAGGGGCAAACCCTCTCCGGCAAGACGGAGTCTGTCAAGACACAAGCGCCTTGTTGGTTTTGAAAAGAGCCGTAGGGGCAGACGACCTGAAGCCCCACAACTCAAACCCTCAGCCCCTAGGGTTTAGGGTTTAGGGTTTAGGGTTTAGGGTTTAGGGTTTGCAGACTCGCTACGGAGTTAACGACGCAGCGCGCAGGGCGTGGGCGCAGCCTGGGGCCTACAGCGCGCTCCCGACCCCGCGTCTGGCCCCAGCGCCCAGCGCACAGGGTCTAGGGTTTAGGGTTTAGGGTTTAGGGTTTAGGGTTTGACCTGGGGTTTGACGACGTGGACTTTGACGCACTCCCCCTCCATCATCTCAAACCCTACAGGACACGACAGCAAAATCTCCCCTGCCAGAGGCGGGTCGGAATGGAGGGTTTTCTTCCGCAGCAAAAGACTTTCTTGCTGCTGCTTGTGTGCTGCTGCTGCAGGTCCCTGCTGCAGCAGCTGCAGCAGCAAGC